CACTAATGTTTCCAAACTCGCCGGCCTCACCGCCGCTAATATATTCGTCTTCGCTGCCTTGGCGAGTCGGTACTCTTACAAAAACGTCCAGCAGAATATGGTCATTGTCGATTCGTACGGCCGAGATGATGTCGAGGCCAAGGCCGAGGCCGCAGCGTCCATGGAGAGGTTAGATAATTCGAGAGGTTTATATTTGATGTAAGTTTAATGTAAAAAATTTCAGTAATTTTTAATTAAAAGCTTTTTTTACCTATTTTGTTATGCTTAAGTTTTCATATATCGATTTTGGGACATCGAGGTCATGTTATACCCGAGTTTTGTCGATGATAATCTTGTGAGGAGTATGTGTAATTTTATAATTCACATAATTAAATTGTAGTTTTATATTTCGATTGAGTTTAGTGTAAATAAAAAATATCTATAATTCTAGAATCCCACAATTTGGTATTAGAAGTTGAAGTTTTCAAATCTTGATTACCATGGTAGATAGTATATGGTTTCGATTTAAGTATGTAAGATTTCGGATGGAAATATTTAAATTACAATGATAATTGGGTTTGGTTTTACATTCTCCGAAAAATATGATCGTTTTTTTTTTGTGGGAAATGCAATTTGGTGTCAAGAAACTATCCGTACCCAATGAGCGACGCTGGGTACGCCCTGGTTGACGGCGAAGGCCATGTAATAACCCGGCGGAGCAACGGCGCCGTTCGGTGGTGCCATACACCGGATCTTGTACTTCCCTTCTCCGGCCACCGGCTCCGACGGCTGGACGTTCAGTTTGACCAGCCGTTGACCCTGCGAGAACGAGTGGGTCGCGAAAGGCGCGCTTCCCAAATTCACCTCTATGATCCCCACGACCGGCAACGGTACATTGACCAACAAGTCGAACCCTTCGCCGTACCGTACAGTCACCGGAATCTCCAGGATCTCTGGCCGGAGATTCGCCCGGTCTGGTGATAGATACTCCGGCGAGAACGCTTCGATGCGTAGTTCTGTAGGGAATTCGGCCTTGAACTTGTAGAAGTAGTGAGGGTTACTTCCGGCGAGAAGAATCCGACCGTCCGGTAAAAGATTCGCCGTCGAATGGTACATTCTGGGTACGGTTCCCGGGTTCAATGTCATGAACCGTAACCCGATTGGCTGATCGGGTCGATACAGAAGCGGGTACAGACACGGGTTCGTCGCCATTTCAAAACCTTGAGAACCAGCTTGAGCTCCATTGATGATCAGAACGCCTCCGTCCGGTAACATCACCAAATCCCCCATGATCCTCCCGAAAGGCATCTCCTCCACCGCCCACGCCGGCTCCGCCGCCGTCGCCACTATCCGGCCGCATGTCCCGTGCGCCGGCGCGTCGGTTGTACGCGCCATGAAAGCGCCGAACTGGGCTCCGCCGCAGACGAGAACCTCCGCCGCCGCGAAATCGCCTCCGATCGCTAGCATCGCCGACGAACCACCGGAGGGGTAGTTTCTTGGACCACCGTCCAACGGCGGGTACTCCCTGACGACGGTGTTTTTCCGGTGGTCGTACATGACGGCGCGGTTGTTGGCGAAGACGAATAGGTGGTCATTGGGGAGAAGGTGAACGTACGGATAGAGGTTGTCCATCTGGGTGTCTTCCACGTCGGCAAGGAACGGGAACGGAACGGCGCCATTTTTCCGCGGGGGGTAATACTCCACCGTGCTGGTTCCTCTCCCGCCGACGATAATCACCGAACCGTCCGGTAAAATCTGGTTCGTCGCGTACCAACGTCCGGCCACCAGTTCGGTATCACTGAGCTCGACCCAATCGCACGAACCGGTTGGCTCGCATGGGTCGAATCTGCGGATCTTTCTGAACCCGTCCAAGTCACCGCCGGTCTGAAGCAACGAGCCGTCGGGCAAAAACTGACCCGACGAGCACCACGTGTCGGTTTGAATCATCAGTGGTCGGATCCGGTTCGTGCCGAGATCGAATTGAACCGAGTGAGCGTAGCAGTCGAGCTTTAGAATGGGATCGCTTTGGTCTCTCCGGCACCGTTTATGGCCGAGGAATTTCCTCGAAGGCCCGATGTTGGTCCGGTCAAGGAGAACCACCGTATTGAACCGGGTCACCGCCGTGTGCATTGATGCTATACCGGCGTCCGGTACGAGAAGCTCCCACGTGCCCGGAAGATCGGCACGTGCTATCGTGAACGCGAGCATAAGTAGAAGTACGATCGCAGTTGTGTCAGAACCTGTTTCCGCCATTTTTGTCGGCGTTTCTGAGGAGAGAGAGAGACTTCCGAGTAAGCACTTTAAAGAAGACTAGGGATGGAGATTCTGTGGTGCAATACACACCGTAAGAATTGATCTGAACCGTTCATCTTGATTCCGGTTTATGCCAGTGGATCCCATCGGCAAAGCATGTGTCCGCTTTCCAGCGTGGAAATGACACGTAGGAAACGTAACGTTCAGTATTTTAGTGCGACCTGACGTAATGAAAACTAACAAAGTCAATATATTGTTGAAAATCTTAAATTTGGATAAATCTTTATATAAATTAAGTTGGGGAAAAATCAATTAGTTTAATCTATTTTTAACCTTTTTTGATAAATTTATATTTCTAGGAAACAATCATTATACTTAATTTTGAATTGATTATCTTATAAGTTTGCTCTTTCTGCTCCAATGGGCACCATTGGCCACCATGAATGAAAATGTCTGAAAGAATAGTCTGATTATAATTGTTTTTTTTTTAACTGAATCAAAATAAAATAATTCGGTCCTATTTGGTTTAAGAAATAATTGAATTAGGCTGTTCTACCTTAATTATTTTCTTAGAAATTACCTTTTCGAATTTTAATTATAATTTTTCAAAATTGTACATCAATATAAATCATGACGAATTTATGTTACGGAAGAAAAGTATCCAGCAAGGGTTTCAAAACATACAATTTTTTAAAAAAAAAGAAGGGAAAAGTTATTCGAAAAGTATATAGTTCTTTTTCTTCTTATTCATTTATAAACTAATTAAATAATTCGTTTATTTGTGAATTTTCGAACTAAGCATTATCCAATAAATAAATAAATAAAAACTTTTGGGCGCTGTCGGCCGCCAATAATTCAAATTTACGATACATATATATATATAATAAGTATTCTCAACATATGGTTGGATGTAAAATGTGATGGTAATGTTGTTTCGATACAATGCCAAGTGCCAAATGAATAAGGACCCAACACTCTAACATCAATCATTTTCATATAACCTCATCCATCACCGACAGACAAAAAAAACCATATTATAAACTTTCATCTCTATACTAAAATTATCTTCGTCTTTTTTTATTTTGATAATTCAGAAATTCATCGGATTTTCGACCCAACTACATCTTCCAGAAGACTGAAAAAGTTCAGATATTCCTCCCACGCTTGGATTTAAATCCAGGGTGAGAGCATCATTTACATGTTCTCTCATCACTAGACCACCCAAACTTGGATTATACTAAAATTATCTTCCATATCATTTATATGAACATCCGTTTTTTTAGGTTAAAGATATGATTGATTAGATATAGAAAAAACTAAAATTATTTTTCATATAAGCATCCATTTTTTAAGCTCAATATATGATTGGTTAGATGTACAAAAGATTATCATCGATGATACTAATAATAAATGAACAAATACTTTTTATTATGGTGTTGAATGGATAGAGTTTTTATTTTGAGTTTTTGGATTAGTTTTTTATTTTAAAATTTTAATTTTTGATTTTTGGTTTTTGGATTTCGTAGATTTATAAATCAAAAAAATATGGTTTTTGATTTTTAGTCGATTTTTTTTATAAAGTAGATATCTAGTTTTTTAGAAAAAATAAATTTAAAAAAAAATTTGATTGTTAGTTTTTAAAATCTAAAAAATCAGAAAGTTTTTCCCATTCAATATATATATATATATATATATATATAATTAATCATAATTTTAATTGATTTGTTTAATATTATTTAATAATTAAATTTTCACGAATTCTTTAAAATGAACCTATATACATCCATGTATATATATATATATATATATATATATGTATAGTTCATATATTCTAAATGGATGTAGATGAGGGATGATTTGTGGTTATGGAAATGTAATAACATCCATAAAGTAGCTCATAGAAATTGTTTTACAGATGTTAATGAGAGTAATTAATATTTAGTTAATAAACAGCTTGGAAAAAAAGATGCTTTAAGGACCTACAAGAATTGGAGAAAAGTGAAGGGCCGTCATAATAACAAAATAAAAAAGGGCTTTTGATTTAATAATAATATTATTAACAAAAGCGAAATGGAGCACAATAATTTTAATTCACGGTTAGACGCAATTACCATTTCAACGACCACACACAGACGTAATTGCAATACACAATATTATTGAGAAAATTCTGTTCTTTACATTTCAAAACATAAAACAGTGTCATTATTAATTGCGGAACAAATTTTTTTTTAAAGTTTTTTTGGGTGTGAGTTAAACAAAATATTTAGATAGATAATTATTTAAAAATAGAGGGAATATTTGTTGGAATGTCTTGATTCAATCCCCAATTTGGAAACATGGGTTTAGATTTACTTGAACCTTCTAAGAGTCGAATATTGAGTCTAAACATAGATTACTCCGTCAAAATAAACTGTTAATATACGCAATAAATATTATATGACGCAATCGAAATAAATCGAAGCAAAATGAATAGAATGCAAATCCAATTGGGAAATTTCCAAAAACAAATTATGACTTGACTATCTCGTACCAAACTTTTTCAGTTTTTAAATTCATAACCAAATATTAATTTTTGGCAAAATAAATATTTTTTTTTCTAATTTTCTGATCGTTCGAAAATCCGATCAAATTTTTAACGGTCAACGTTGATACGAATTTATCAAATTTGCCGCATCAAATGTCAAGTCTGCAATTTAAATAAAAAATATATTAAAATATTTAAAATTAAATAAAAATAGTAAAAATAATTATAAAAAATTAAAATATATACAGTATATCTATGTATATATCGTGTGTATATATATATGTATTTATGTATAATTATTTTATAATTATATTTCTTTAATTTTTTATATTTATTTTTTTATTTATTGTGGTAGACAATTTTGATGAAATATCGCGTGTTAATCGTTAAAAATTTAATCGGATTTTCAGACGATCAAAAAATTTAAAAAACCAAAAGTTTAGTATTTATTTTTTCAAAAATTAATACTTGGTTGCGGATTTAGAAAATTTAAAAATTTTCAGTATGAATTTGATAGTTAAGTTGTAGTTGATTTTTAAAAAAATTAATTATATATATTAGTTTTAAAATAAAAAATTATAAGATAATAAAGGTATAATTTGTTAAATTGACATAAAAGTATTGACTCTACTTTTAACCAAGTGGTGGAATGTTCGAGGTGAATAGACGGCGTCGTTTCACACATTTGGAATTTAACTTTAATTTAATTTTAAAAATTCGGGCGAACAAAACTAGTGAAGTGAGTATATTCCCCGTATACTGTGTGTATATATCTCTGTGGGCGCGTTTTTTTATTTACAAAATTACCCTTCTTCTTCTCTTTCCAGTTTTAGGGTTTCTCAAGGGTTTTCCCTCTCCTTGACAATTTCTCCCATTTCACTCGTATTTCTCTCAGCTAATTCGTTCTTTTTGTCGGCTAAATTGACGTGAATTCGGATCTCAAGTGCTCCGATCGACGGAGATTCAACTCAAGATCTCATAGAGATGAACTTGGAGGCAAGAGTCGGTGTGGTTATGGAAGGAGGACAGAGGGCTCTTAATTCCGCGGCTACCACCGCCGCCTCGCATGGAGGCGCTGTGGATGCCGGAGCAAGGAAGTTATTGCAGCAACATCAGCAGGTGCAGCCGCAGAGCCATCACCACAGTAATAAACAGTCGTTGAATCAGCAACAGTCTCATATCGGCACCTTTGAGCATCTTCTCGCCGGGGGTATTGCCGGTGCCTTTAGCAAGACCTGTACCGCGCCTCTCGCTCGCCTCACCATTTTGTTTCAGGTTTTGGTTTGTTTGATATCGAGTTTCGATTTCTTTTGCCCTCAAAGTGGCGATTACTCAGGATTAGAATTTGGGTAGTTTCGAAATTTGCTGCATGGTGTGTCTGCGGCGGAGCTTTGGTTTAGGCTTTAGGGCATGTGTGTATGCCTTATATAGGTCAGTGGGTTTCGATTTCGTATTGAAAGTGAAGGTTTTTGAAAGGGTTTACGTTGGATAAGTCTTGTAAGTGTGAATTAATGCCAAAGGTTCAGCGTTTTGCCCTGTAGCCTAAGCTTTTGACTTTATGTCCTTAATTGTGTTAAGACATCGTTTGGAAGTACCATGTAAGCTGTTTTGTTCTTGACTGTTTTGTTTTCTACTATCAGTTGCAAGGTATGCAATCAGAAGCCGCAGTGTTAAGCAAACCGAGCATATGGCGTGAGGCTTCTCGTATTATCAACGAAGAAGGTTTTAGAGCCTTTTGGAAAGGAAACCTGGTTACTGTAGCTCACCGGCTTCCATATTCTGCAGTGAACTTCTATGCATATGAAAGATACAAGAATGTAAGTTGCTTATAAGCCTCTACAAGGTGTTGATTGTGTAGCAGTGGCTTATTCTTCTGTCATTTGGTCTAACCTTGCCTCCTTTTTTTTTCAATTTCTTTCTTTCTGAGCAGTTGTTGCACTCAATTCCAGCCTTGGGGAGTTATAAAGGAAATGCGAGCCTAGACCTTTTTGTGCACTTTGTAGGTGGTGGGTTGGCTGGAATAACTGCTGCCTCAGCTACTTACCCTCTTGATCTTGTGAGGACACGCCTTGCTGCACAGGTAATACTCCTTGCTCTAGTTTCCTCTTTCATTTCTTACCTTCCCCTTGATTTTTTTTGTTTGATGTTATTATGCCCGAAATTTATTGTTGTTGTGTTCTCTATCCTTCTTATTACCAAATATTTTATGTTTCATGTTTTCCAGAGGAATTCAATGTATTATCGAGGTATCGGGCATGCATTCAGTACCATTTGCAGAGAAGAGGGAATGTTGGGTCTGTATAAAGGACTTGGTGCTACATTGTTGGTACGCTTGAATGCTTCCCCATGTTCTTTTTGGACGAACTATGTTGGTGGTTAACTTCTCTCTGTTTCTTGATTTCATGATGCAGGGTGTCGGACCAAGCCTTGCAATAAGCTTCTCTGCGTATGAGTCTCTGAAATCATTTTGGCTATCTCAAAGGTAAAAAAATCATCTCTGTGTGAAAAATATGGCTATATATTAAAATTCTTGTCTACTGATTTATCATACTTTTCGGTTGATCTCCTTCAGGCCTAACGATTCACAAGTCATGGTCAGTCTTGGTTGTGGCAGTCTCTCCGGAATAGCCTCTTCGACAGGTTGGGCAGCTGATTTTACTGCTTTTTAAAAGTCGGGTTCCCCAGAATTTGCACACACACAAAAACACTCTCACGGCTGTATATAAGTTTGGAGACAAGAAGGTTTGGGGTTTTCTATGGGACATATCTTTTTTATGTATACATCAAATGACACATACTCTGTTTATGCTGCTGATAAACTTATAGTGACATTCCCGCTGGACCTCGTGAGAAGAAGAATGCAGTTAGAAGGGGCGGGTGGACGAGCAAGAGTGTATAACACGGGGATCTTAGGAACACTCAGACACATATGCAAGACAGAAGGCCTCCGAGGTTTGTACAGGGGGATCTTGCCCGAATACTACAAAGTGGTTCCCGGTGTAGGCATCGCCTTCATGACTTACGAGACGTTGAAGATTCTCTTATCACCGACCCCTTGTTGAGTTCAAGTTGCTTGTAGAGGTAGATGAAGGAAGAATTGTGAGCTCTCGTAGTGATCTTGGTGGTAAATTTTACTGTTACTGCCGTGAAAAGATTAAAAAGTTTTCAGTGTATAGGTTTTTTTTAGTTGCGTTTAGGTGTTTTCAACAATTTTCCAGGCATCATTTTACATTGGGTTTCTCCATGAGCATTTTCCTGATATAACACAATTTTGGTTTTGCTTTTAGGCTTTCCGATTCATGAAGCTCTCTTCCTTTATTTAACTCTGTACTTTCATTTCTAGGGTTCAAACAAAGTTACTTGACCAAGAACCCTAAACCCCCAAAGCTCTTCACGTTCCTCTGTGTAACCCCAAAAGAAACCATTCCATAAAATAAATATAGCAAATGCTTTAGATTTTGGTTGAAAGTTTCTTCTTTTACTTTCGGGTTTGTGCCAAATCATTTGGATTTTACGTTTTTGATTTTCTTAGCTTCTGTGCTTGAGTATTTCCGCAGAAAGTTTCGAACTTTGGGCTCTGTGATCCCTGAAAGATTAAACCCACCAAGAACCAAAACCTGAACTGGAGTTCCAAACTGAAATATTTTATGAAATGGATTCAGAAGTTACACCTAAGCCATTATTAAGCTTGAAAAGATGGCATCTAAGGTTTCACTGAGCAGAAGAGTCTCTCTCTGTCTGGGTTTTTGTTCATTGAACGCCGCTCCATCTGGCCCAGTCAACGAATTGCATTCCGCCATAGATGTTGTTGGCGAACCTTACACCAACAGTGAATGCCATTGCCACTGGAGGCACCTTCTTGGCTACAGGAGATGCCTCCACCAGCCTCTCCAGTCCATTGATGACCTGGTAACGAGTGTTTGAAGAAACAGCCAAGAACACACCTGCAATGAATGATAACCACCATCATTCCCTCCATCATGCATGGGCCACTTACTTAAACGATCAGAAAAAATTGGTAGAAAAACCCAAACTTTAATATTCAATGATCTAAAGGGGGATGATATTCAAATGACCCAAGTTATAAGCTTTAAACGGGCAAATCATCAGCATATATGACGACCTTAAACGATAAGATATCGAAAATCTGGAGGGTGAAGAGGTTCAAAATGATCCAAATATCAAGCTAGAAGCTTTAATAGGGAAAATCATCAGACATGAGAAGGGAATGTTAAATCATACATACCCCAGAGAGCTGCGCTCTTAATCAATGGTGGAACCGGAATGTCCTCTTCC